GTGCGTGCCCTCTTCCCTCCGTCCACCCCCTCCCCGCCGTGCCCTGCCCCTCCTCTCTCTCTCTCTCTCCCCCCTCCCCCATCACGATCTCCCTCTGCCTGCATCCTCCTCTCCTGTTCCCCCTCCCCCTCTCCCCTCTGCCCACTCCTCTTCTCCTCGTCCTCCTCTTTGTCGTCGTCGTCCTCCTCCGCCTCCTCATCCTCCTCCTCGTCTGTCCCCCCATCCTCCCTCCAGCGCTCCCATCTTTCAATTCCCTTCCCTCCCTCGGAGACTTTTGTCCTAGCGTGGAACAATACTCCGAGTTACTCAATGCGTATGTGGGGGTGGATCGCCTGGTGTGTGTGTGTGTGTGTGTGCACGTGTGTAGAATGAGCCTGTCCCCAACGCTGGGCGTGGGGGGTAGATCGCGTAGGGGGTGCATGTGGGGGGCTGGATTGGACTGTCGAGCGGAGTGGCATTAGGAGCGTGCTTACGGAACAAATCTTGAGTATCGTGTTAACTAACCCGTCGCTGGCGCCGGCGGCGGCTGGCGGCGGCGGCGCCCGCGTCTCTTTGGGCCTCTCTGAGATGGTGGTGGTGGGTTGTGGTGGTGGTGGTGGCGGTGGTGGTAGAGGTGGTGGTGGTGGTGGTGGTGTGGTGGTGGTGGTGGTGGTTGGTGGTTTTGGTGGTTGGTGGTTGTGGTGGTTGTGGTGGTGGCGGTGGTGGCGGTGGTGTTGGTGGTGTGGTGGTTTGTGGTGGTGGTGGTGGTAGTTGTGGTGGTGGGTAGTGGTGGTGGTGTTGGTGGCGGTGGTGGTGTGGTGGTCTGTCGTGGTGGTTTTGGTGGTGGTAGTGGTTGTGGCGGTGGTGGTGGTGGTTTTGTTTTGCTGGTGGTGGTTGTGGTGGTGGGTGGCGGTGAAGGTGGTGGTGGTGGCTTGGTGGTTTGTGGCGGTGGTGGTGGTGGGTTGTGGTGGTGGTGGTGGCTGTGGGTGTTGTGGTTAGGTGGTTAGTTGTGGTGGTGGTGGTGGTGGTCGCGGTGGTGGTGGTGGTGGTGGTGGTGGCAGGTTGTTGTTGTTGTTGTTGTTGTTGGTGGTGGTGGTTGTGGCGGTGGTGGTGGTGGTGATGATGATAGTTGTGATGATAGTGGTGGTTGTGGTGGTGGTGGTGGTGGTGGTTTGTTGTGGTGGTGGTGTCTGTGGAGTGGTGGTGGTTGTATGGTGATTTGTGGTGATTTGTGGTGGTTGTGGTGGGTTATGGTGGTGGTGGTGTAGAAGTGGTGGCGGTGGTGGTGGCGTGGTGGTTTGTCTTTGTGTTGCTGGTGGTTGTGGCGCTGGTACTGGTGCTTGTGCTGGTGGTGGTGGTGGAGGTGGTGGTGGGTGGGTGGTGGGTGGTGGTGGTGGTGGCGGTGGTGGTTGTGGTGGTGGTGGTTTGGTGGTTTGTGGTGGTGGTGGGTGGTGGGTTGTGGTGTTGGTGGGTTGTGGTGGCGGTGGTGGTGGCGGTGGTGTTGTGGTGGTCTATGGTGGAGGTTGAGGTGGTGGTCGTAGGTTGTTGTGTGTAGTGGTGGTGGTGGTGGCGGTTGTGGTGGTGGTGGTGGTTGTGTAGTGGTTTGTGGTGGTGGTGGTTGTGGTGGTTGTGCTGGTGGTGCTGGTGGTGGTGTCGGTGGTGGTGGTGGTGGTGGTGGTGTGGTGGTTTGTGGTGGTGGTGGTGGGGTTGGTGGTGGTTGTGTGGCCTTCGGGTCTTCCCGCCACCGTGTCTTGGCATTGGGTCGCAGTTCTAATGGATGCTTCTTGGGGTCTCGTCAGAGGGGTCTCGGGGGCGTGTGAGGTGCATGTGTGAGGGCTCCTGGACGCCTCTTCTAGAACTTCCTAAGGGCCCCCGGTGGTAATTTGTATTTTCTTTTCCCGCTTTGGCCTCTGTGCTCTCTCTGGTCATCGTCGCTGCGTTTTGCCGTTGGAGCTGCCAGCCGCCGCCGGCGCAGGCGCCAGCACCGGCACCGAGGGAGCGGGGGGGGGGCTCGACCCTCCCCCCCCCGGGAAGCCGGAGCAGAAAATATTGGTGGAGTTGGAAGCGGGGGGGGTTGGGGACGGGGGGGGTTAGGGGATAGGGGGTTCCCCCTGGTTCTGATCGACGGCGCCGAGTGTTGGGTCCCCCCCCCGGTTCGAAGCGCGCCGCCGAATGTTCCCAAGGCAAGCGCGCGTGAAACGCGTTCTCTTAAGTCTTAGATGCGTACATCAAGTTTGAAGAGTGTGCCGCCCTCGATCGCGATGGCCTCAGCCGTGAATGGCGCCATTGGCCGCCCTAAGTATTGACCGGTCATATTTCGTGGATTTGCGATCCATCCCACAGAAGTGCGAGATTGCGTTTTTGACGTGCTAGGTTGCTGCTGCAGCTGCTGCTGAACGTGTTGCGTTCCTTACGCCATTGTCGCTGTGCGTGGTATATACGAAAGGATTTGCACCGTGCACGGTCAAGCTTCTGGCAGATGGTGCAGAACTCTGATGCCACGAATGTTGCTTTTGTGACATGTCGAACGCCCTCACAGTTCCATTTGCCCTCCTATCTCTCCCTCCACTCCCTTCCGTCCTCACTCTCCATCCCTTCTTGCCTGTGTCTGAGTCTGAGTCCGAAACGTGCCGACCATGTCGTAGCACTCTCGGGAAGACCACGTCTAAACCTACCGTGTATGCCGTCCTACCTGAACGGAGAAGGGTATGACGACGTCGACGACTATGACGAAGGTCCTGGTCGTGCTTTGTGCCTGCGCTCGGCCGTGTGTTCCGTGGTGATGATCGGCTGTGGAGACTGCCGAGTAGCGTGCGATGCATGGGCTCACGCGATGGCGAGGGTGGCCCAGGTGGAGTCTCCTACTAGGTGTAGGCTGCCGGCGACTTTCCGCCTGGTAGGCGGTTATCACGTCGTACAAAATGAGTGGCAGAGCCTGTAAAGTGTCTTATGACGTCAGTGCAGTGCAGTTCGCATTACCTGTTCTACGACGGGCCGCCGCTGTTACCAGTGCTATCGCTGGCACCCGAGCGAGTGCAGTACATGACACCAATAATCATTATGCCAATTAATGCTTCGGCTACTAGTTGAAGCAGTGCTAGGACGAGAGCTCGCTGTAGTGGTAGACGTGCCGGTAGCGGCACGACTACTTGTAGCAGTCGTACGACCACGACGAGGGCTACGAGGGCGACTGCGCTTGCTACTGGTTGTTCGACTCCAACCTCTACGACGACTGCTTGCACATAATTTCTTCGGCGTGCAACGACCACCAACAGTCCGCACACGATTGTTAACTACTACACCCCTCGTACCCTCATCATTACCACATACTAGGACTAGTAGTAAGCTGATCGTAGTACATTACAAGTGGACACATCTGCGAAGACATTGCTGCATATAGTGATGGTGACGAAGTCTCGGATGCCACTGCGAGCTTTATCATGTTGGTACCAACGCCGACTCTGCCAGTGATGTTGATCGCGATTGTGATGAATGTGATGGCAATCGCGATGGCATGATAAAGATGGTGATCACGATGACGACGACGGTATGAATGGTGACTGTGAGGTGACGATTTCGTGACGACGTCGACGACGACGATGACGATTCTGACAATGATGACGAGCACGGCTCCCAACAGGCTACGTCTGTCTGGGTCCAGACAGGCAAGAATTCAACTCGCTGGAGGAGGTGGAGTCGTTCTTTGGGAGGAGGCCACGGGGGCCTCCAGCCGCGCCCGCCGACCTGCTGATCCGCCCTCGTCCTATGCCCCAGTCTGTGGGAGGAGTGTAAGTTGGACGCTGTAGGCCTCTTCGAGCGCAGGCGTGGCATCCCCAACACATGCTCCCAGAGTTGTGCTTTGACCCACATCTGGCCCCGGAAGGCATCGCTCGATACTACACTGGTGCTTGGAAGTCCGCTTTGACTTCGCACAGAAACATGCTTGCTTACCTCGTGGACGGGACGGGGTGGGCGCGGCCCGAAGCCCGGGGAGCCTTTGCAATGTAATCAGGGGTCAATATGGGAGAGTTGTTCTAAGTCCAGACTCGGCGTGCTCGAAGATTCCGATTCGATCACTTGCTCGGAGCAGGCTCGGGCCTTGCGCTCTCGACTTCCCCTCGTGCGGGGGCGGGTGGGGAAGGTGCCGAGTTGCGGACCAGGGGGCGGAAGGAGGGTGAAGCATGCAGGACGAGGGAAAGCTGGTCTTCCTTGGTGATGGCTGGTCCTGGTGAAAGCCCCCCAGGTCCAGGACCCGTTTCTCTCAGGACCCTTGTGTTTCATGCCGAGAGGAGAATGAGGAGGAGGAGGAGGAGGAGGAGGAGGAGGAGGAGGAGGAGGAGGAGGAGGAGGAGGAGGAGGAGAGGAGGAGAGGACGAGGAGGAGGAGGAGGAGGAGGAGGAGGAGGAGGAGGAGGGACGCGTGCGAAGGATGAGGAAAAGGAGGGGGAGGAGGAGGCGATTATATCGCTACAGGCCGTGCTTCTGAAGTTTGCCCAGCGTCGAAAGTGGAGGAGGGGATCAGACGAGGAGGGAGGAGGGAGCGACGGAGGGGGGAAAGAGGGGATACACGTAGCCAGATGGAGCGGCGACCCCCCCCCACCCGAAGGCTGAAGGACGATGGGGGCTGCCCAGAGATAGACGCGGCGTTCAAGCAGGTGCAGACCGGAAAGCAGATGTTCCGGGTGCGCCCCGCGGCGACGGAGGACTGGGATCGTTGCGATCCAAATGTGTACGGAAAGAATGGGTACACCTTAGGCGATGCTTAAGAAAACTTAAATTTTCGGCCAGAGTCTCGATTATTCTTAACGTTTCAATGTAAATCCTAAGATTTGAATGGACATTCTGGGTTTTTATTTGAATTCTGAGACTCTCAATTTCTTAACCCATGATTTCTAAAGCATTTCGCAGGGTGTACGGAAAGAATGGGTACGAAGACCGACAGCACTTCCCGTTCATTTTGAACAGGGTTCGCTGTCCGTGCCGCCGTGGGCCGTTGTTCGTTTGGGACAGAGAGCCGCCTGCCCAACGGCGACCGACAGCATTTCCCGTTCATTTTGAACAGGGTTCGCTGTCCGTGCCGCCGTGGGCTGTTGTTCGTTTGGGGCAGAAGGCCGCCTGCCCAACAGCGGCCGCTGTCGCTTTTTTTTGGGCAACATCTGCTGTTGGACATCGTACCCACTTTGTGTGTACCCATGTCGGGCGTCCACATGGGAGACAGAGGGGTTCCATGGGCGCCTCAGCTCCCAGGCTCGTGGTCAGATCTCCATGTTCGGTGGCGGAGCAAACATGTGTTCACGGCAATGCCGCTCGCGAGCACCTGCATGCGGCATCGTGTGTCGATCCCGATCTCCCCCAGCCCGCCAGCCCCCTTTGCGGGTGCCAGGCTTCAGGCTGCCACCGTCGAATTGATTCTCTGCTGGCGTCTCTGGTTGCTTTTCTCTGTCGTCCTGTCTCTTGTATCTTGTCCCCTTTGTCTTCTCAGCCCTGTCTCGTTTCGGCTGTCGGCCAATAGGGGAGGGGGCACCTGTACGTCGCCACCTCAGCCTGTTAGCCAAGTATACCCACGATGCCTCCAGGACGGCCCCAACAGGATCCGAAGAAACCCCAGATCCGAGATAGCCCGATGATTCAAACCTGTTGCTAATGAGGCCCAAGAAGGCGCCACTAAATCACCAATCTGCACCCAATACGCATCGAACGGGCAACGCAAGACAGGCTCGCCTCCTCCCCCCACCCCAATTTTGCCCCAAATGATTGCAACGGCTTCCTCTGTTTGCAATGGCTTCCTGAGCCATTGCAGTGGTTCTCTCTGGTTGAAATGGCTTACTCTGCTGTTGCAATGGCTTCCTGTGGCTTTTTCCAATGGCGTCTCAAAGATCGTCCAACAATAGTTAAATGAGTAGAATGGAGCAGAGTAGACAGTAGCTGAGCAGAGTGAAGCAAAGTAAAAATGGAGTCGAGAAGAGTGGATGTGTAGAGCTCAGCGGAGTTCGAGCATAATCGAATATTGTACTACAGACCGGAGTAGAGCAGAACCGCGTAGAGTAGCAGTAGATCGGAGGGTTTTTGTTTGATAACCCTTGTCATTTTCCATTGCGTTGTAGTATGTGTGTATGTGATGCTTGTTGTTGTCTGTTTGCTCTTGCTTGTTTGATGCTTGGTCTTGCTTTTTTTCCGTAGTATTTCACTGCAGTGTTTGTGATAACCTTCTCAGGATGAGTAGGAGGAACAGCAGCAGGAGGATCACCCCCTTTCGTGAGGCTAGGGAACCAACAGAATTTGAACATGTGTTAAACAAGCAATGACATCCCAAAACGTCAAATTCATCCTCCGTAGCAATTTTGGCTCAAGCCATCTTGGCCCAAGCGAGAACATTGTCTGCGGCACCAGCGCCCCTCCTGCCGTCGCGGCTGTGTCCCCCGCAGCCTTTCTGCGCCGGCATCCCATGGGACCTACCCGCGCCTTAATCACGATTAAGGATGGCACCACGTACATCAACGACCGTGAGCTGGCGCGCTCTTACCTCTCGGACCTCGCGGCATCGGCCAACCAGGTCACCCACAATGACGAGATTTCCCAGCGGCTTGCAGTTGTCGAAGCTGGCATGCGGGTGCAGCAGCTGGTTGGAGGGTCATTATCCACTCCTCTTGCCACAGCCATATCGGCCCTGAGGAAGCTGAACACGGCGGTGAACGTGGCCAAACACGTGGACACGGAGTGCGACGACATGCCCATTGACAGCGTCCAGCAGCAGACGCCCCAGGAGTGGGAGTTCCAGGAGGCCAACAAGCGGGAATATTGCACGGTGACTCTAAAGCAGAAGGAGAGCAAGGGCCTCTACCAGAAGCGAATGGAGAAGAAAGACAAAAAGGACAAGACGGACCTGAAGGCCAAGACAGACGACCTTCCAGCCTGCCCCCAGGGGCACTCGCTCAAGAAGTTCAAGATCAAGGCCCGCCAAAAGTACTTCTGTTCGGTCTGCGGCGCAGACATCCCGAATGGCAATTACACGGCGGCGTGCAAACAGTGCGATTACGACGTGTGCGAGGATTGTGGCTGAGCCCTCGAGGAGCCCTGAGTCCATCCCGTCTGCCGTCTGGTCTCGCCCTTGCCCTCCCCTGGCTTTTGCTTTCCCGTTTTCGCTTCCCCGGCTACGCGTAGTCTATCCTGTAGAAGGTTCGAAGTGTACATTTGATGCTGAGGCGGTCACGCATTTTCGGGAATCGTCAGTGATGGGGAAAACATTAACAATAATGGAAATTCAACAAGCAAGCAACACATCCTTGGGAGGGTTTCCAAGACAACAACAAACACTTCATAAGTTAGCCGGCGTGGGGGCCGTCGGCCTGGGAAACCAGAACATGGCCGACTGAGGTGTTGTTGGTGCCCCCATAAGTGTCTTTTAGAATCTCGCCCCCTGTCCCATGAGGTTCCCAATGGAGTGTTTAGGCATATTGCTGTATGGATGACAGTATTCTGCGCTTGGCGTATGCGTCTGTGACTGTTACCGTTGTGGCTCAAGGTTCCAAATTCCTGGGGGGAGGGGGATCGAGGAGCGCCCTCCGCATCTCCTCCTGCTCCTCTCGGCTCTCTGTCCGATCCTCACGTCCGCTCACATGGTAGCCGGAGCGTAATGGTTGAGCGGGCCGCCGAGGGGCAGGAGGGACGCGGCGGCGAGGACGCCGAGGTTCCCCCTGCCAGGAGGGTCGAGGAGACGACCCCGCGAGCAGCAGCCGCAGGAGCAGCGGCCGCCACACCAGACACAGAAGAAAACGTGCCCGCCGCAGCTGCAGCAGCCAGCAGCGCAGCAGCAGGCACGGGCAGCAGCGCAGAAGAGCCTCAGGACCCGTGGCCGAACGACGGCCCCTGGAGGACAGGGAACCAGCAGCCACAGCGGAAAAGTTGGTGGGCTCGCGGATGTCGCTGGATGACCTCGTGGTGGAATGACAGCAGCTGGTGGTCAAACAGGGCGCCGAGCCAAGTATGAGTCACCGTCGCGCCACCGGAGCAGCCGCCCCTGCCGACCGCGCTGATGCGGCAAGCCACCCCGGCAGCACGCGCGCCCGCGCCGCCGACGTGGGCGCTGCTGGCGAGCGAGCCGGGCGTGCCGGCCAGAGCGACGTCGAGCCAGTGGCAGCCACCGGCGCAGCCGCTTCCCCTACCAGCACCGCTGGGGACCGACGGCGTGTCCACGTCGACGGGCGTGCAGCCCTCGGACACGCGGGCCGCAACCGTGGAGGGGCTTCGAGCGGCTCGACACCTACGTCGTGGCCATCCGCCGCTGGAGCAAGCGAACGGGTGTGCCGGCGGACCAGCAAGCGGGCAAGATCATGGACGGGCTGCCGCTGGACTTGCTGGAGAGACTCCTGCGTCACCAGGACGAGCTGGACAGTGTCAACGGAGTGAACGTCCTGATCGTGTTTCTGAAGAAATGTCGAGGCGACCGAGACGGGGACGAGGCCAGAGAGAGCTGCAGGCTAGCTCTGGAAGAAGGTAGAAGCGGACATGAAGGCGAGTGAGACGTGCACGCAGTATGTACTACGACGAGACGTGCAAGTGCGCAGTGCACGTAAGAACGGCCTCGACCTTCCTGAACAAGTGCAGGCGCAGCAGCTTCGCAACGGAGCGAACCTGAGCAAGCAGAAAGCGATCAACCTGCTGTCGACCACCCAGGGCAAGGAGGGTCCAGAGTCTGGAGTCGATCAACCGAGGACTGATGAATATGGACGCGAAGAAGAAAAGCAAGAAGGCTTGGGTCCACGCTGCTGGTGACAGCGAGGATGAAGAAGGCGAGAACTCGAGCGCAGAGGCGATGTACTACTACGAGCTGGATGCCGACTTGATGACGGACGATGGGGATACGGCGTCGTTCTACCAGGCGATCTCCAACCAGGAGCTGGGCGAGGACCAGGCGGTCGCCGTGCTGGCCGCGGCGCTAGACGAGAAGAGGGAAAAAAGAGGGCCGCCTGCGCGCGTGGGCGGAGCCGAAGGAGCTGAAGAAGGCCATCCCCCGGGACAGGGACTTCGTCGATATGAAGGGCGCCAGGGGCCGCCCGCCTCCTCGTCACCAGGCTGGAAAGCAGCGGACCAGCATCGCGCGCTTGGAGAAGCGAGCCCGATGCGCCAACTGCGGCCAGAAGGGCGACTGGCGCAGGGAATGCACCAACCCGTGCAAGCCGAAGACGAGTGGCCCGGCTGGCTCCAAGTCGGTCGGAATGCGAGGATCCTTGTGCGTTGCAGCTGGAGACGATGACGCCGCGTATCTGATGGGCAACGGCCGTGTCCTCGAGATCTGCCGCGAGGTGCCCGAGCCCCACCTAGACTCCATCTGTGTTCCGACGATCGGCGGCGACGAGCCCGAGGGCGCGGTGGACGCGGCAGTTGGCCGGGCGCTGGTCGGACAAGGACGTCTGCAGGAACGGCGCAAGAAGTGCCGCGCGAAGGGATGGGATATTCCAGTGCGAGAGATGAAGAGCGCCACTTCGGCCAAGTGAGTCGGGGGCCGGTCCGAGGTCATCGGCGAGGCGACGGTGCCCGTCGCGCAGGCTGGGATTAGGTGATTCATCCTGTTCCGGATCATCCGCGAAGGCGTGCCGCTGCTCCTGCCCGCGCGTTGGCTCGAGAGTTAGGGCGCGATCGTGGGCGTGGCAGGAGGCCAGCTCGCGATGCGCTGGGGCGGCCCAGATCGAGTCATCAAGATGGCGAGGCAAAGGTCCGGGCGCCGGGCCATCGGTCTGCTAGACAGTTGCTCGCCGAGAGACTTCGAGATCCCTGAGGCGGCCCAGCGAGGCTGGCCCGGCTTGAGTGGCCAACATTTCTCCGCTTGCAGGACCTCCGCTCACCTCGTCGCCCTCTCCGACCTTTCAGATCCGAGCACGGGGCCAGGGCCGCCCCCTCTCCAGAGGGCCCCGGAAGCGTAGACTGGGGAGGGGGGCCGCGCTCGGAGGACCCAGCCAGGCCCGGGCCCGAGGTCGCAAGCAAGCCAGATGCCGAGGGCGTCCGAGGAGAAGGAAGAGGTAAAAGGGCCCAGCAGGACTAAGAAGGATACCCCGGAGGAGACGTGCAGGAGGAAGCAAGATACCCAGGATCATACAGCATAGCGACAACGATCTCAACGATTATCGCAGCAGTTACCCGAAGGACATCTGGGCTCAAAACCGAATCGCCCATCCTCGACCCTCAGCCCGGTCTTTGAAGTTTCGAGGAATTCGCCAGAGGAAGTGATGTCAGCGCCCGTGGAGAATTTGCGAGTGCGCTGGAACTCGAGTCTGAAGAAGTTCCAGAGGCCTCCCGGGGCTCCGAGGCGCGCCGTCCAGCTCGCGAAGGACAGCCCCATGGGTGCGACCTGGGAATGACTGCTGGGCACGGGCTCGTGCGCCAAAAGAAAGACGACGCAGTCGGAGGGGCATGGGTCGACGGTGGGGAGGTGGCGGGGATCGACGGCGGGGGTCGACGGCGGGGAGGTTGCGAAGATGTTCCAGGAGACGCGCGGCGAGCTCAAGGGGGCGATCGGCCAGCTCGACTGCCCGCGCCCGCCGTGGGCGATGTGGGAGTCGGGCAACCAGCAAACAGCGCGTGCGCTACGCGAGCTGCCTGGCGCGCAAGGGCCAGGCGTGGACCGGCCCGCTCGCGTCGGCGGAGAGGCAGGCTCGACTGAAGAAGGCCGACAGGGAAGCGAGAAACGCGCGCGGGGAGAAGTTCGTCTGCGAGCCGCCGTGGGGGCCTCCCAAGGTAGCGCCGTGGGCCTGGGCGGGCTCGAGAGCGACATCAAGCTCGGCAGCCAGGCGTCATCAGGTTTGGCAGACACGCCGAAGCAGGTGCAGTCGGAGCTCGGCCTGATGATGGCCGGAATCCAGCGCAACGGCGAAGCGGCGAGCCAGCTGGCCATCGCGATTCAGTAGCTCGTGCAGGCCAAGGACTGAGCATGACGCTCTAAGCAAAGCCAGGGGAGGGGGGGCGTGGGATCGCGGGATCAATCCATCACTGAACCTAGGACCCTCAAGGACCTTTAAGTGCGGGGAGCTGGGATGGGGGATGCGTTCGGAGTCTGTTGCCCGCCAACGCCGCCTCGGCAAAGTGCACCGCGGCGGGGCGGCAGCACCCAGGCTTCGGGGCCTGATGGGGCGGGGGGCGGGAAAGGGCGTCATCTCTCGACGAGGTCGCCGAAGCTCGAGGGCGTCGAAAGCAGCGACCCAACCGGGCCGAATCCGAGCGAGTGATGGTCCTAGTGGCCTGCTACATTGTCCAGCGCGCCGACCCCGGGACTTGGGCGCGCGGGCTTCGGGCGTTTTCGGGATCCGCTGCTCAGGCGCCGCGGGAAACGCCCTCTACGACTCCCTCTCCTCGGATTTCTCGGCGCGCCAGTTGCATCTCGCCGCGCCCAGCGAGGTCAGGGGCGACGTCGTCGTGGAGACGTTGACAGCTTCGGCGTCCTGCGAGCCTCCGCCCAGACTGGAGTCAAGGGGCCTGTCGGGGGCGTCGGTCTGTCAGGAGCAGCCGTTTAAGGGGGTCCATGCCTTTGGGGGGGCGCCCTCGATGGTCGGGTTAGCGCGCCGCCCCGAGCCCTTGTGCCCGGCGCCTCGGGAGGTGCGGGGGGTCGCCCTGGCCGCGGGGGGGGGGGGGGGGGGGCGTTCGCGCGCGGCGCGAGAGAAGGAAACGCCTCATCCTGGACTGGCTGGCCGAGTCGAGGCGAAAGTTGGTCATGGAACTGTTCTCGGTTCCCCGGGTCGCCTCGACTCTCCAGGGTCAGGGGTGTCTAGTTTTCCAGGGGCGTGGATCTCAGCGCGGGGTGCAATCTCGACGCTCAGTTAGGAGAAGCATCCATGTGGCGCCTCATCGAGCGGGACAGGCCCGAGGTTGTCGCCGTGGACCCCGAGCGCCGAGCCTTTTCGGTTGCGAGACGGCCGAGCTGGCGGAAGCTGGAGAGGAGCGTTTTGACGGGCGCCGACGCAGCCGGTGCGAGGTGCATGGCCCTGCGCATGCGAGTTGCCGGGTGCCAGGTCTGCCGCGGAAGAGGGTTCCTCTTCGAACATTCTGATGGGGCGTGCTCGTGGGAGATGGAGTCGGTTTGAGAAATGCTGGGCCGCGCGGAGAGCATTTCGGGAGTGGCGGATCTCTGTCGGCGCGGGTTGGCCGTCACATGGGGGGGCCCAACAAAAAGCCGACCAGGTTCAAGGTTCATGACCAGTCGACCTTCTCTTCTCTAGCCCATGCGTCGGAGATGCAGCGGCGAGCGCTCCCGCCAGCTACTCAGTGGGGGCGCCCGCGCGAAGGCCGCGCAGACTTGCCCCCCGGAGCTGATCCAGGCGATGCGCGAGGGGATTCTGGAGTATACCCCGATCCGAGCCCTAGGGCACTTCGAGGAAGCGGCCCGCCCCCCAGGGGGCAACTGTACTGGCCATCCCGAAGGGCGCCCGGTCTACGCCAGCGAAGACTCCGACTCCGACTCCGACGATGATGATGAAGGGATCGACAAACATGGGGGGGGGGGGGGGCGGTCGGCATGGAAGGGGGAAGGCAATCGGGGGCGACCGGGCAGAACCATGAGAAGGAGGTCTTGCGCGCGCATTAATCTCGGTCGTCTCTCGAGAGAAGCTTTTCTCAAGATGCTGCTGGTGGCTCTCGCCAAACCGTCAGTCGTAGATAATGTGAAGCATAAGTTTCGCTGCGGGCAGCGTGACGGCCGCTCCAGGCCCTTGTGGAGACGCCGTGCCGCTGGGCCGCGTACCTACTGGTTCAACCGGATCGCAGCCCTGGGCTGTTTGTTCGTGGCCGTTGTCGGGGCCGAGCTCACCATAGTCAATGTGTTGGACCGCGGTCCGGTTTCCAGATGCGTCGCCTTCTTCCTCCCAGTGAGTAGCGGAACTCCGAAAATGCTAGGGGGGGTCTTGTCGCGGGTTGGATTCGCGCGTTCGGACCCCCCCGAGGTCGTTCTCACTGGCGGCGGGCCCGAGTTCCTGGGGGCGTTCGGTCGGGGGCGCGATCGCGCAGGGATGTGCCGGCGCGTCTGCGCCGCCGCGCCGCCGCGCCGCCGCGGCGGAACGGCAGGCCCGAGCGCCGCGGGGTTGGGCGAAGAGGGCTGGTGGCCAGGGCCGCAGACGTTGTCCCGCCCACCGCGTTTTCCAAGGTCGAGCTCATCTTGCATGATACCGTCTCTGCGAGGAACTGTTACTACCGCGGGCCAGGGCATTCCCCATGCCAGCTCGTTTTCGGGGAATCCCAGACTCTCCCGAGCGCTCCTTAGTGGCGAAGGAACCGGCGACATCGGTCTTTCGGATGTCCAGGTGCGTGGGGTGGGGGGTGGGGGGGGCGCCAGTGATGGCGCCGCCGCCGCCGCCGCCTTCGCCAGGAAGCATCAGATCACAGAGGAAACGAAGAAAGCCTTGATGTGTGCTGGTGCCAAGTCCAGGTTGGCGGAAGCGATCGGTCGGACTTTTCAGCCTTGTCAGCGCGCGCGCGTGGCGGATGGTGGTGGGAGTAAAGACTCGTGCGCTCCAGCGGGATCGCTGGGTGGGTCTCAGGGCGGTGGTCTCTCGCAAAGGGTGGCCATGTGGGCCGAGCTGTGGAAGTGCAGCGGGGGGCAAGTGAGAGAGGCGACCCGTGCTAAGGCCCTGGGGGCCGGGGTGATCGATGCCCCGGAGTTCCGAGCGCTCCAGAGCCAAGTTCGGGGCCCTGGGGGGGCGCGGGCGCTCGACGTCGAGAGCGGGCCCCCCCGCCCCCTGAGTAGGCCTGGGGCGACCCGGAGGAACGCGGCGAGGAATCCGAGGGGGCGGGGCGTTCGGCGGAGGCGGCGGAACCGTCTGGGTGACCCCTGGCTCCGTTGCCGAGGCCTCGGTGGAACGCGGATCCCCGCGCCTCTCGATTCAAGGTGGCAGTGGGGCTGACGGGCCAGCTCCCACCGGCGAGCCGAGCGCGACCGAGCATAACCGACTGGGTGGATGGTAGAGTCGAGCCTGGTAGAATAAAGGAGGGTAGAGGAGAGGAGAGTAGAGTAGAGCAGAGACGCGTATCATGTATTATTTATCCGCAAGGGCTTCGCATGCCCCCGGCTCCCCTCTCTTAGAATGGGACTGGCCAGGGCTGCGTTGGAATGTGTGGGCGCTGGCGCGAAGTAGTGTCGGGGCTTCGCGCGAGGGCTTATTTTAATTTGCGATGGTTTATGGCTTCGGTGCCGCGAATGATGAAAATATCTTCGCATGGTTGATGGATTCGGGGGCGCCAGGATTGCGAAATTTGTAAGGGTTGGTGGCCTCGGGGGCGCAAGCTTTGTTTAACTTGCGCAGGTGTTTGGCTTCGGGGGCGCACGTATTACATAACTTATGAAGGTTATGACCTCGGGGGCGCGAATATTGTGAGATTTGCGCGGGTTTGTAGCCTCGGGAACGCAACTTTGGCACAATGTATGAGGGTTCACGGCCCTGGGGGCGCGAATCTTATTTAAATTTATGGAATATTCAGTAATTTACGTGGGTTTAGGTCTCGGGGGCGTGAGTATCGCGTATGTCGTAAGGATTTATGGCGTCGGGGGCGCGAACACTGCATACTTTGTAATTGCTTATGGCTTCGGGGACGCGAATCTTGCGCAATTTATATGGGGTTATGGCTTCGGGGACGCAACTATGGTTTATCTTACCATGGATTATGGATTCGGGGACGCGAGTATCATTTATTTTACAAGGCCCCCCAGGCATTCAGACAGCGCGATCGGGGCGCGGTAAAAGAGCTGGCTCGGGGCACCCCCTCTCGCGCGTTCAGCAACACTTAGCAGTAAGGAAACAGAAAGCAGGACTGTAACAGTGGAGCCTGGGAGTTGCAACTGGAACAAGGAGCTGTAATCCTCACCCTCGCAGCCTGGTGGCCGCGCAGGGTGGCCGGCGGATATAAGAGTAAGGTCGGATTAGAGCATGATCAAGTTAGCCAGTTCGAGCGGGTCAGACGGCCCCGCGTGCTTCCACTCTCCCTCCCGCGGCATAGTAATCAAGTCTGGCACAATTTGATGTCGAGGTTGGAACGCGCTCCTGCCTCGCAAGCGGAAGGGGCTCGTGCGCGGCCCCGCTTCCGACGGCTTCGCGAAGGGAGCAGATCTGCGGGCCGCGCGTGGGTGGGAACGGCACCACTTGCGATGGGCTGGGCGCGGACGAAACCTGCGCCGCGCTGGCACACACAGCGCTGTGAGTTTCTCCCGCGAGCTGCGCGACGCCTGGGCGAGGTCGGCATTCCGCCCGCTCTCGCGCTGCCCCGCTGCCGCTGCCGCTGCCGTGCGATGCGGCGAACGGGCCATGCGCCGCGCTCGCGCGGGAACGCCACCGCACGGAGTTTGGGCGAGGGCGACGTGTCCCCCATTCGCACGACCCCCCCCCCCCCCCCTCCTCCTCCTCCTCCTCCTCCTCCTCCTCCTCCTCTTCCTCCTCCTCCTCCTCCTCCTCCTCCTCCTCCTCCTCCTCCCTTCGAGCTGGCGAGTGGCAAGTCTGCGCCGCATCGGGGCGGGAACGCCACTTTGAGGCGAAGATCTGCGCCGCGCGGAGGCGAGAACCACACTTCGGGCCGCCCGCGCGTCGACAGGCGTTGCGTGCAGCAGGCGTGCGCCGCGCCAGCGCGGGAGCTCAGCCGAGCGCGGCGCCGAGGCGAGAGCTGCACTTCGGCCTTTGGCGCGGGAGGTGCGCGCGTCTCGCGCCCTCGCCACGCACTCTGCAGCGTGGACGGCGTGGTGTTCATCCTACGACGAAGCACCTGGATTTTGGTAGGGGTTCTTGCCAGGGAAGGTGCGATCCCCCGAATTGGGTTGTTGTCGGCCTGTTCGGTGGCACAGTGGGGCCATATTCCAAGAGGGAATGAGGCTCAAGTTGAGCAGAGTAGGAATATAGCAGAGCAGGGCCGAGTAGGTTATGATAGGGTAGGGTTGGGCAGAGTAGGGTAGAGTAGGGCGGAATAGAGCAGAGTACAATAGGCAGATGGTAGAATAGAGCCGGTCCATTCCAGTCTACTCCAGGCCAGCCCTCTTCAGTCCATTCCAGTCCAGATCGTGTCAGTCTTCAGATTCATTTGAACTCTGCGCTGGCTTTATTTTTCGGTGGGCAGGGGGGGCACCTATTTTACCGTTGGCGGTGATGGCGATGACGACGATGACGGGGATAACGAGGATGGTTATGGTGACGGGGGCGATGATGGTGATTGTAGCGATCATGATTCTGATGCTGGTGATGCTGATGGTGAGGATGCTCATGGTGAGGGAGAGACGGGGGAAGGATGGGCGGATGGATGAAATCGAGGCATGGGAAAGCACATGGTAGAGAAGGCCACGACGGAACGAACGACATGCCCAGAACGGGCAAGAGCGGAACAGCAGGACGAGTGGTGAGTGCGCACTCGCCGCGCTCGTCGGGAGGCAGGACGAGCATCGGCGACACGCTGCCGTCGGTAGCCAGTCGGTGCGCTGCTCCTCCGTCTCTGTCCAGGGGCCCCGTGTTCCGCTAGCAGCAAGCGCGCCGATGGGCTCCCCCCGCGGCGGCGTGCCGTTGGTGCGGCTGCTGTCCCTCCGAGCTCAGTGCAGGCAGGGCGCTGGAACGAGGGCCGCCTCGGCTTCGAAAGGGGCGCACTGCTCCTCTGGCCATTCCGTGGCCGATGATGATGACGATGATGATGATAGGAGGGGAGAGGAGGCGGAGGAGGAGAGGAGGAGGAAGGAGACGCGGGGCACCGTCTCTTCAAAACGAGGACCCAACAACATAGGTTTGTTGGGGAAAAACAAGACCCACAGAGGGGCCTCGGCCCTCCTGCTGCGCCCCTTCGTCGCAGCAGCCCGACGGCACCCCCGGAGGAGCCCCGCCAGCCGCAGCACCGGCGGCGGGGGCCGCCGTGCAGCCCGCCGAGCGCCTTCAAGCGCCTCCGGCGGAAGGGCGGGGGCTCGCCGCCGTCGGGCCCGCCGGAGGCGCGAAGGGGGGGGGGGGGAAGTGCGGGGGGGCGGGGCGGGAGCCTCGGGGCGGGGGCCGGTGCAGAAAGGGGGGGGCAGCCAGAGCGCCGGGCCCTGCCGCATCCTGCAGAGGGCCAGGGGCGCACGGGCCCGGGCTCGGGCTTGCAGGGCCCTCCTCCCCGTCCTCCTCCTCCTCCTCCTCCTCCTCCTCCTCCTCCTCCTCCTTCTCCTCCTCCTCCTCCTCCTCCTCATTCTCCTCCTCCTCGTCGCCCTCCTCCTCCTCCTCCTCCTCCTCCTCCTCCTCCTCCTCCTGGATCCCGCGGAGCCAGAGTGGCCCGGAGTCTGGACGGGCCCGGGCCAGCAGGTCCCCTGAGCGGGGGGAGCGCGGCTCGGCACGACGGGAGCTGGGCGTCAAAAGCTTCCGATGCGCGCGCCGGCGGCGGCGTGCGCACGTGGGCGCCCTCTGGGTCTGCCAGGGCTTGCGTTGCCCCCAGGTCGACCGCCGTGATCTTTGGCATCGGGGTCGGGGGTTTGGTCCCGCTTCGAAGTGACTTATAAGTTACTTCGAAGCGGAGGGGAAACGTCCATATCTATAGATATGGACGTTTCCCCTCCGCTCCCCCCACAAGACCACGGTCGAGTGGGGCGGCTGCAAGGTGCATCAGCCACGCGCAGAGGGAGGTATGGGGGAGGGGGAAGGCTCCTCGGCAGGAGGCTGCTTGTTAGAAGGCGCGGGCCTTCTCTGTAGATCTATGGCCCGCGCCTTCTAAGAAGCAGCTTCCTTGCTAAGAAGTCTTCTCCTCTCCCCCCACCCCCTTGCGCGCGCCGCCAATGGACACGGAAAGAATGGGGACAGTCAGTTCGTTGAAACAAGGTCCAGTTTGAGTCGGAAGGGGCTCGGTGGTTCCTCAGGTCTGCATGCGTTCCGTTGCTTTTTTGGTGGCGAGTCCCTTCGGTGTTTCTTGCGGTCCAGCGCGCGCGGATCCGTCTTGTCGATCAGGGCGGCTGGTCGAAGGATCGGGGCTCCAAGAGGGGCTCGGCCGCTCCTTCGGATTTTATGGCTCGATTTTGAATCAAGGGGCTGCGTTCCTTATTTCAGCAACCCGGCTGTAGCTTATAGCACACGCGGGGCAAGAGCAGCATGCAAAGAGAATGTGGACAGGTTGCCATTGTGAAATGCAGTTGATACCAACTCTGCCTTTGATATGGAACTCCGTGGTTTGGGGTAAGCAGCGCAAGTTTGCGGGCAGTCTTGAGGGTGAAAGATTTCGTCATCTCACCAAGCATCCTGAATGAGGGCGCTTACGGGAAAAACAGTGGGCACGAAGACCGATTGCAGTCCTTGTCCCTTTGGGACAAGGTCTCGCTGACGGTGTCGCCGCGGACGCTGTCTGTTCGGGACAGAGGGTCGCCCCCCAGATAGCGGCCGCTGCCGGATCTGGCCAACGCTTGCAGTCCGACTTTTTCCGTACCCATTTCGGGCACGGCAAGTGCCGAAGAAGAAAAGATGCTATAAACATACACTCTTGGCGCTCCGCGCGGATTCCTTCGATCCGCGCGGAGCCCCCCTGGCGACGCCTCCGGCGCCGCCCCTGCCGCTCTCTGCGCGCCAGGTAGGGGGGGGGGGGTTCAGCGCTGATCCGAGAAATCCGCGCTGAGCGGCCAAAGTTTCTGTTTATGGCGTTTTTTCTTCGTCTTCGCCTTCGTCTTCTTCGTCTTCTTCTTCTTCTTCGTCTTCGTCTTCGTCTTCTTCTTCTTCTTCTAAAGTGGAAGGGTGGGCCCCACGCCATTGGCCGTCCCGTCAGAACGAAGACGAGCAGCCGGCGTCAGCGCGAGCTCCCGGAGGACTGCGCGGGTCTTCCGGCTCCGCGCTGGAGAGCCCCCCCCTGTGGCGGCGCCCTGGGCGCCCTCCCTGGCGCGCTGCCGCCCTCCCGGGAGGGGGCCCAGCGCAGAGCCAGGACCTCCGCACGGACCTCCGCGCGCTGCGAAAACCACGACGGAGGGTTCGTCGCTATCTTGGACCCGGGGGGGGGGGGCCCTTCCTGGGCTTTTCGGGACCGTCAACAAAAAAAACACTGAGGATGAAAAACCGGTCCCCGGCAAGGGGTCCAGACTTCTAAGGGGCTTGTCATGAAAACGTCACGACGTTGGGGGTCTGGGTATGCAAGTGCTTCTTCCTCCAATCCGTTCCCGGCGCGTCTCGCCCGTAGCCCGACCGGCGCTTGCACCAGCTTCGACCCGCTTGCGCCCGCTGACTACAAAGTTCAGGAGGGGGAACAGGAACACACAGCCGCAATGAATCGTCGACTCCCAGGAAAATATTTCAAAATGTGGACAGCGGGGGGGAAGACGAAAACCCAGAACATGTAAAACAATATGGGGAATCACAGGATTTGTGTGAAAAAAGGGAAAAGCAAGGGGGAAAAACAGGGGGGGGGCAACACATGTGTGTGTCCCTGGGCCTCTTCAAGAGTGCTTCTTCCCCTGCCCTCGCCACCGCAGTCGCCTCGGGGCACCCCCGCGTGGCCGCCCTCCTCCCGGCGCGGCGGGCGCCCCCCAGCGCCAGGCCCCCGTCGGGAGCTGTCGGCGCCTCTGCTCTTGCTGTGCGCGCGCGTTGGATGCCAGACTTAAGCTGGGCACGTCCTTCTACAGGAGGAAAATTCGAAAAGAGTGGAAAATGATTCAGGCGACGGTTTTTTTGTTGGACCAGCTTTGATTATCATTGGAATATTTTTCGTCTCCCTTCTGGAATCCGCCTGCAGGATCATGATGCTCCAACCTACTTTGGCCTTGATCACCAGGAAGAATTTCGAGCGCCCTCAAAAATACCGAAACCCAAGGGTTTTCACGTGTCGGGCCCTGGGAGACACTCGCCCGACACCGTTCCGACACTGTTTCGGCACTCTTTTGACGCTTCTCCTGGTGCTCGAAACTATTTCTGGGTTGCGGTCCTTTAAGGATGGGAACAGCATAGCACTGTAGGAGGACGTGCCCGACCTAGTGACCCGATGTGCCTGGAGGCGCCTGCCGAGCGAGCTGGGCAGGCGCGCTCTCTCGATTTTGGTCGCGGGCGTCTCCTCGCCCGCGCGCGAGGTTCAGAGCGACGCTGGGCTTTTCGGGGGCGGCGAAGAGGGGGGTGATGACTAGGGGTGTGTGGATATCATGGCGGGGGCCATGATACCACCCCAGATGTCGTGGCGCCCCTTCTTATTTCATTACGTCCCTGGCCCCCCCCTCTGGACCGCGCACGTGCCGCTGGTCATGATTTGCACCCCCCCCTCCTGGACGCCCCTCTTGGCTGCCCCCCGGGCTTGGCGGAGGCGCGCGCTCGGGGGAGGAGGCGCTGGCGATTTTTTCCCGCGGGCGTCTCCTGGCCCAGCGCGCGACATGCGCGACCTGCCGTCCGAGGGCGTGTGTGCGCCAGTCGAAGGCCTCGGGCGGGCCGGGCGGTTTTCTGGTGGTGAGCACCGGCTGGTGTCCACTGTCGAGGAGCAGATGTCAGCCAGCGGGGGCCCCAAATGGTGTGCTTCTAGTCACTTAGACTGTGACATATACGTGGTGCATTATACTTCGTGCGCGCCATCTTGTGCAGGACATGTGGTGACATTTGTTTTGAACCGTATAAGTGGTGTGATCTAGTGCAATACCTGTTGCGCGATCTGTGTGGAGCAGTCTATGTTGTGCAATCTGTGCTTCTGCAGCACATTGTGTGCCATCTATGTGGTGTGGTCATTGTGGTTAATCAGTGTGGTGCAAGACAAGTTGTGCAATGAACGTTGCCTAACATATAATGTGCAATTGGTGTGGTGCAAAATGTGTGATGCAAGATATGCTGCGCAAGCTATGTGGCGCAATCAACGAGGAGGAATCCAGGTTCTGCAATATCGGTTGTGCAATTCGTTCGGTGCGATTTAGTTTTTGCAATCTATGTTTGGCGACCTAGGTTGAGTAACCAATGTGATGCAGCTCATGTTGTGCAAGTCTTTTTTGTTTGCAGTGAGTTGTCAACTCCATTGCTAGCGCAACCATCCCATCCACCCACCCACCCGCAAGTGGGTTTGCAACACCCAGGCGGCGGCGATTGCGATGCGTGCTTGGCGTTAGCTGGTGCATCTCTACGGCCGCGCTAGCCCGCGCATGCTCGCGCGCGAAGCGGCCAGCTAGTTCGGCGCGACCGACGCGGCAGCGGTGGCGCTGACCGCTGGTTTTTTTTCCCAGCGGGCATTTCAGTGCGAGTCAGCGATTTGGGCGGGCGCAGCGTCCACAACGGTAGACGCGATGATGATCGTAGCGATGCTGGCGACGATGATGACAATGATCACGGCGCGGCCAGTGACGGCGCCGATGCTGATCACACCGGAGACGATGATGGCGTCCTCGCGTCGGTGATAAGAAAGGTGTTGGATCAGGTCTGGCATGCGCGCGCGGCCGACGCGCGAGTGGCCCGCATGACATTTTTTGACACGGATGTGCCCCCCCAACATTCGTGCAATGGGCGTCCGGATGATGTCGACATGCGGCGCGAGAGGCCCGTTTAGCTGAGTGTAATGAACATGTTGAACAGCGTATGGTTTTCTTGAAAGTTCGCAGGTTGGCGAACGCATGCGCTTCTTTTCGGGGCAGTCGCTTTGAAAACCATGTGACACCTAAGGGCTTTGACGTATTTCCGCATGCTCGCGCGACGACGCGGGCGCATGCACGTCGTCCCGTTTCTGCGAGGGGTTCTTGCGACAGCTCGCGCGCAAGGACGGCCGATCGATGTTGCCATGCGCGCGCGAGAGACACGTTTGGCAGAGTTTGATGACCTGAAGAACTCATGCTTGTCTAGAACATGCACAAAAGCGCGAGCGCAGGCTTTGTTAAACATTATGGTTGTACATCATTTTTTTGGTGAAAAACATCGGTTCAGCCGCTTTCGAATTCCTTACGACACCGAAGATTTTTGAATGATGCGGAATTGGCATGCACCCGCGACGACGCGCGCGTGTGGACTTCGTCTCAGCTTTTGCACGGTATCTTTGAG